ACATTCTCAAACATAAGTCAGTTAGTCAGTCAGCCAACAAAAACGTGGAAATTCGTACGTACATGCGTACATCAGTTCAAGTTGCCATATCACATTAGCACAGAGATAAGATAGTTCATTCAAATCCCATTGTAGTAGAGGTAGTAAAAATATTACAAGTTATCAGAGAGTTTAGGGTTCGAAGATGTTATACAAGAAGTATAATTCAATGAGGTGAATTTAGAAAGAGAAAGATAAAGCCGATGAGGAACTTCGAAGGTAGGAATTTCATAGAACACATAGACTGGATGCATCTGCGCAAATGCAAACGATTTTGAGCTATGACACTCAGGGTCTCTAACCATCGATTATTATCATCTCGCTAACCCCAGCCAGGTAGTCAACACCTACCGACATGATTCAATCCATTTGTCAGTGATTTCATCGATTTGTGCCACCTTTTGGTCTGACCGCCCCTAGCTTTCGTCGAACCTATGTCCTACATGGCAAAACAAAGCTCACAGAGGCAGCTGGTGGTCAGGCATACGTAACACATGTACCAACCATATCAAATGACGAAAATTCACAGCTTCATCTATTGATTTGTCACTCTTGCATAGGACCCACTTCCTAAAGAAGGTCCTTTTGCATAAAACATAAGTCGGTTCTTATCTCCTACCGCCTACTTAAAACCAACAACGTATCGAAGTCTCCTCTTTGTTGTTTCGAATGACTAGAGACTAGTACATTAGTGGTTGTCTTGAACAATTCGACCGTGATATTATTTTAAACAATCAGATAGTATTGCGTAAGCTCTTAAGTTTCACGTCTAAGAATAAATGAGAATATAGAAAGAACTTTCACTGAAAAGTAATCATCGATAGCTACAAATTCAAAACTATTCAAGTCATTGGAAAAACGAGTTGGCAGAATTTGCACTGAAAATCGCTATGTTGATTACATGATAAGCTTGAAAATATTACGGGTTCACCTTAGTCGATAAACGAGAATGAAACAATAAATAAAACCAGTGTACTAGGTTGGCTACTATTGTGGTGCGCGCTACTTATAAGTAGTATATGACGGGAGTGTCAACGTAATGTCTGGCAGCAGAAGATGGAGGAAGATCAAGGAAGGAAGAGTGGGAACACAATGGAATTTGTAGGAAACGCATGAATAGTGAAATGTCAGACAATGGATCGATGATGGATTGAAGATTTGCAAATTAACGGTTTACGATATGGTTTTCCTATTTTACTGAGTAACTCTGTAATTTTCGTTAAATACAATTCGGTCGCCCTCACCTGTGTTCTCCTTCACTACAATCTGATCCGTTGACTCAAAGGAACAAACGAGTAGTCTTGATATAGCGTAGAACGTGTATCCTACAAACTTTCAGCAAGCACACAAATCTCATTCATTTATAAACCGTAGGCATGACCTTGGGAGAGTCCAATATCCTTGAAAGAGTCACAAAATAGAAAACTAAAATAACACAGTAACAAATCACAGACAAGTTTTTCCTGGTGCGGAATGTGATCTGAAAGTCATCTGATCAGCCCATGAATAAAATTCAAAATAATGACATTTATCAAGCGAGTTTTGAGGATCTAACATCTCTAACACATATGATGACAAACACTGGTTTATGAATCTCGCGGTTCTTCGTGTTTCTGCACAATAATGTAAATCTATCGAAAACATAAGATTGGATTCGGTTGCAAACGGTTTTACGATTTAGAAATGCATCAGTCTTCGTTCTGCTGATCAGCACAGACTCAACTAAAATACAAAGTCTTAGATATATTGAGTAAGAGAAAGGATTTAGTTCCACGTTTAATTGTGGAGACACATGTTGTGATGTGTGTTATATAAAGAGAACCACTGAAATACGCCTAATGTGTTATAAATTATCAATTGTGGGAGGTAAACGTGTCTCAGGTACAGGGATACTTGTCCTAAATCTTCTTACTTCAGCACTTCTCGATAATTTCATCTGAATTTTTAGTATTAGTTGAATTTGCAATGGTGTATACTGCGTGTAATAATTCGATTTTCGATTCTCTCATAAATAAGAACCTCATTCAAATATGGCATTCTCATCATACGCGTATTTCAACAAGTTTTCTATAATCTGTGGAAAATTCTCATCATAATAAAACACACATTTATCTATCGCTGAAGAATATTATTCTCGACTCAAAATTTCTCATCAGTTTCTATAATTTTGTATCGAAATTAATAATCTAGAAATTGGTAAGCTTTATGTTTGAGAACGTCATTTAAAATTATCTAACGTGAATTGAGGACTGTTCTTGAGATAAAATAAAATGCGCACTGTTACAATAGTTAATTTGAATTGAATAGAAACAAATTCTTACAAATAATCGTCAGTTGTATACCTTCACTTCTGTACATGGATAACTGATGCATTTGTGTCATGTTTTGTTGGTCAAAATTGATATGCTCCATTGCAATCTGACATGGACTCGTCAACAAATGTCACAAGTGAATGTGTGTCCAAATAAGCTATTGCGATCTGAGTGATCCACAGGACCATTTATTTTCGCATTTTGTTGACGAATAAATGACTTTGCAAAATCTAGTTGCGAGTAAGCAGGTTATGAATTAGCTTTGAATGATCTTGTCTCAATTCAGTGTGTCAGTGCAGTGAAATCTTCATTTATTCATGTCTACAGTTTGCACAACTGATTGTCAAAGCTCTTATTTGGCCAAAGTTAGCGTTTGTGCAATGAGTGTGATGAGTTGAGACTGAGACACTTTCAGGTGAAGCTAGCCGTCCAACAATTGATAAAACTTATATTTTGATCAACTTATGGTGTTAAATCTGCATGTGATTGCTGTTAGCACCATGGATTGATTGATGATCAATATTTTGTCAAGTTGACATTTCGAGCCTGATTGTGTAGAAAAACGTGACAAACAATGATAGATCAGCCTAGAAGCTCTTCACTCTTTCATATTTCACCTGATTCAATCAATCAACGTTGCTTGTGTTTGATGTAAATACAGCTTTTATAACATTAGATAAAGTGTCGAGATTTAAAGAAGCTTTGACTATTCGGTAGTTTAAAACCATCTGATATATACGTTGACAATATTCTGTAACATCCTAGTTACTCCAGTAATGCAAACATTACCTACTTTGAAAATACGATATTCATTTTCTCTCCGGCTGTCAATTAGAATTATTAGCTAGTATTTATTTTCACTGTTAATAATTTGACCGTGATTTGTTCACTCACAAATTGTCTTGAAAAGTATATTTATGACAAAATTGTTCGAAACGTTTACCACAAATATACGTCATATTCTTCATATCTATTCTATCCTCACACTGTTCTTTCAAAATTTAAAATGGAATGTACTGATTTCGTTAATTTTCTGTAAATGAACAGTCCTTTCATCTTGCATTATGAGCTCGGCTGAACTTGATAATCTTGAGAACAAAATCGTATATTAGATGGTCACGTTAGACTAATAAAAGTTATGCACTGCTAGATACATATTTCAAAAACGTTTTCCTCATTACTTACGCCACGATAAACGAAGTTTTCTAAGGAAAATTGATGAAAATGATAAAAAATCTAATGAAGGTGAAAAATTCAGGTATCACGTTTATTCTTAAAAGCTGTCAATTCAGACGTCTCAAATGTTCATCTAATAACAGTATTCTCGTAATTATGGCAAAACTGTAACTCGTTCTGTGAATATTCACTCACCGTTCAGGTAGCACAAGTTCTAATATCACAATATTCAGCCAACCTAATTTGTCACTTGAGAAAAGGCGAATGAATGTTACACATGGACAGAGATTCTTGAAATTCAATTGCGAAACAAGAAATTTATTATCAGTATCATTTATTACCAAGATAGTGAATTTATCCGTCTACCTCAGAGCTTATTGCAGTTAGAAAAGTAAAGCACATGCCATATAGAATGCACCATTATCCTCTCCTAATATTTACATATGTATATACATACAAGTTCGATCGAATATCAACGATTGCGACTGGTGTCATTTACAGATTCATTCACCGTATCATATCTATTGCTTGTACAGTTATCAACATTTGCTCATTTCAGTGACTAATCACAATTCTCAGTTCACAAGAACCATGGACGTTAATGCATCAAAACTTGTTGTTTGGTCAAGATAAAGCGAATCGCTTGTAACTATGAAGGCATACGGAACTAATAACTGAACATTTTCGATTGGTTTCTTTCAACCTTCTCACATTTGCTACTCAAATTCAAGCAAGCTGGATGACACTACAACATATGACTCCGTTCAAGAGCATCTCGATTTCATTTTTTTTATAAATCAAATAGTATGATGATTATAGTATAAAATGAATTGATTTGTTTTCGCTAACGGTAAATTTTCCTTATGAACAATGATTTCTACAAAGCAATAAAATTTTTCACAACAGTTATTTGTATGTATGTAACATAAGTTACATTGTTAAGTTCATCAGTAACAATATGTCATGGGAATATTCAAGGTCCATAATAATTTCATCGAGGTAGATGAATGGTTTAAATATGTGAGAGAAGACTGAATGTAATCAGGTACAACAAGCATGTGCAAAGTGTTGTTACCCTAATCTCGTGTAAAGTTTACGCATCGTATTACTTGGTTAGTTCTTTCATCTTACAATTATTACAAGGTGAAAATCGATATGTAAACCTGTGAATTGATCATTCAATTACAGCTTTGATTATCATTTCATTAATCATGCGATAAGTGAGACACTAAAAGTTGCTGTTTCATTTTGAATCTTTGCATTATTTTACATTGATAAATAACTTTGACATTTATTTCGAAGTAGTTTCATAATGTTTGTGATGATATTCTTTAAAAAAAGTCATCAAAAAAAAAAAACTGAACCACTCAAATGATAAACCAAAAAATAATATTTTGTTGATTTAAGTAACATAAAAAGAAGAAAAATGGAATAAGAATTTGTATATATTGCTAAATGTTAATGACTGGATTATCATCTTCTTTTAATCAAACAAAAGATAATTAGGACACTTAAAATCACACAAATTACGATGAAAGGAATAAAGCAAAGGTAGTAGATATAATGAGTTGAATAATTTTTCAATAGATAGTCAGAAAAAGAAGCATTAGTAGAAGACGAAACAAATTGAAGGTTTGGTATAACTTGTCCAGAATACGACAAAGATTTATCATCAGAATAAACAGATAGCCAGAAAGCACCAGATGCAGATATATTCTCCCATGAGTGCAAAATGTGATCATCGTTTGTTGATGTTGTTTGCTCAACTGAACCAGATGCAGAATCACCCCCTGACAAATCAACAATCTTCTCATCGTTTGATGGCGGTTTTTGATCAACAACATCAGATGCAGAATCACTCCCTGATAAATCGACGACCTTCTCATCGTTTGAAGGTGGTTTTCCCTCAACAACACCAGATGCAGAAGCACTCTCCGTCGAATGGAAAATGTGATCATCGCTCGTTAATGTTGTTTGCTCAACTGAACCAGATGCAGTATCACCCCCTGACAAATCGACGACCTTCTCATCGTTTGAAGGTGGTTTTCCCTCAACAACACCAGATGCAGAAGCACTCTCCGTCGAATGGTAAATGTGATCATCGCTCGTTAATGTTGTTTGTTCAACTGAACCAGATGCAGTATCACCCCCTGACAAATCGACAATCTTCTCATCGTTTGATGGTGCTTCTTGGCCAACAATACCAGATACAGAAGCACTCTCCGTCGAATGGTAAATGTGATCATCGCTCCTTAATGTTGTTTGCTCAACTGCATCCGATGCAGAAATACTGTTTGACGAATTGACAATATGATCATTATGACTTTCGGTTAATTGTTGCCCATTATCTCCCGTTCTGTGAATGTTTATATTGTCTGTTATTCTTGTTTGTATTATTTCAGCCAATGGAATAATGTTGTTATGAACTAATTCATTTTCTTTGTCAATTGTATTTATTTCTTCCGAATTATCGGATTCTTTTTCATTCTGTCAAAATGTAACAAACAACATGTTTGTTTTTTTTAAGTACATAATCTTATGCAGAAAATTTATTTTTATTTCTACACAATTTTATGTATGATGGATGATGATATTGTTTGTTTGTCATCTCGATTGATTGATTTTGGTGTTTGAATGAACAGTGAAATCTTAAGATACTTGTTACTGAAACCTGGAATACTCTCATTTACATACTCACTCATCTGTTTGTTATGGTTAAGACACATAACTGTATTTGTCTGACTTTTGAAACGTTCACAGAAAAAGTTTCACTGCTATACTCAACTCATATCTAGGCAATGTGTTAGTGAACCAACTTCCATCGGAAATATTCTTTCCACTTTAGCCCGTAAATGTATACGTGAATGATAGTATGAGTAGTCGTAATACATTGTTTAAATTTCAAGTACTTACTATAAAAATGCAACCACTTCGTTGTGAACTGGTTTCATTTTCACATCTTTCATGTTCCGAGCTCCAAGTACATTTTGCAAATTGAAGTGATTCAGAGATGCATGACTTATAGGACTTTTGTACTGGACATCCTAAAACATTACAGAAAAAACAGAAAATAATTTAACTTTTTTTGTAAAATTTTAGTTATACTTTGAGTAACTTTTAAGCCTTATACTTCATATTTTTGAAATAATGAAGTTGTACTGATCATGAAATCACGTGAACAGTGATAGCGTTATAAAAGAGGTCAGTAAAAATTTTAAAAAAAAATATTTCCTCTTTATCGCTTGTGGAGATTGTTGAGTTACTTGTAAAATCATGAGTACAATATTTGAAACATGGAATCACTGGACGGATATTTCGTCCCGATACAAGACTGGTCAACAGAGAACATGCATACTTTTGGCAAGAAAACGAATTAACTTATTCTCTTGACAAACTTAAGTTATCGCTTAAAACTAAATTTATTAGCTAAGTGAAAAGTTCCACGTTCACTCAGTGCTTAGAATTGAAATATACTACTTAGGAACCCAGTAGATAAGGAATATTAAAAATTTGAATGTCAAATTGAAAATGGCATAGTCACAGTTTTATTGAGTAAGCGTTCAAAGTTTGAAAATCCAAAATTGAAGCTGCTGAACAGGATCACTAAATGATTAAAATTGAAAGTTCAGATAAAACCATCCGAATGACATAATGATATTTTACACATTGATATTGAGTAGTACACGACTATGACGATACATGTATAATCTTCTCTAGTATTAGAGAGAGTCATTCATAGTTGTCCGAAATTTTCCAACTTTCGTAGAACAATATATTTGTTCTCACCCAACGTTAATTTTACACCAACTTGTTATTTCGAATTGAAAATTCCTGAGCATTCGGTGGGTTAAAATTAATTAATACGTAAAACGGCGTTGTGAAGATTGTTAAGTTACACAATTTAAGTTAGGAAATCGACCAAAGTTAGACCACCATTAGAAACCTGGAAGCACTGGACTGCTGTTTTGTCCTAGTTGAGGACTCTTCAGCAGTACTCATCCACGACTCTCACACCTCGCAGGATCCAAACCCAGAACCTTCGGTCTTGCGCGCAAACGCCTAACCTCTGGACCACTGAGCCGGTACCTAACGGTATTGTTATACACCCAAATAGAAAAATTCGACATAAGAAAACAATGAATGTTTTCACACAAAATTCTGCATAACTATGTTTCACATACTTGCGATTGGGACAATATAGATCGTCTCAGTATGGCGTAAAGAAGAAACAGGATAACTGAATGTTTGTACATGATTTCTAAAGGTTATATATTCACCTACGAAAGAAATGTTTCAGAAGTGATTAAAATTGAGAAGTAATATATGATAATTTTAAAAAAAATTATTACTCTAGAAATGCATGCATTTTACTAAGTGCCAGGTTCTTATTCATACATTTTCACAGTTATATGATAGGGCAATGTATGACTCCATTGAAGAGAATCTCAATTTTATTGTTTTAATAAGGCGAATACTATGATAATGATTAAGGTAGTATAAAATAATTTGATTTGATTTTGTTCATTGGAAATCTTTCTTGTTGGCATTACCTTCCACGGCTATGCATTGAATTCGATACTGAGGTTAAGAGATTATCTAAGTTTACTGATTTGACCATTATGATATTTTATACATATCTACGCTTCTCAATCATACATTCTCATAGTCCACTAAAAAAAAAATAAACCAGAAATGATTCGGTTATTATTTGTTACTGCATTTATATCATCTATCATTAGAAGTTGGTTGCTTCAAGTTCGAATTTCATATTTATTTTTTTTTACATAAAAATAGTCTATTAAGATTGAATTAGTTCTTACTTTCATTAGCTGTTTGATTGAAAATTCCATCTGTGATTTGTATTGTGAAATTTTCCCCCGTTAATTTATTGGATAACTTTAAAGTAAGAATAAATAAATATTTATAATGTTTGACATTTTTTTTCACGATAAAGATTAAAGACTGTCTTGTGAAGATCTATATATATTTAATTCAAATGTTATAACATTTCTGCCTACAATGATCATCATGTATTATACTCTCACATAGCAGCGCACAGCTGATGAGTCCCATACCAGGACGAAACGACCGTCTAGTGCTTCCAGGTTTCTAATGGTAGTCTAACAATGATTGATTGATGATTCCAAATGTGTAAAAACGCAAACCTCCAAAACTGTGCCCCAAAATATACTTTTATCTATCCTTGTAGTTTGGATGTTATACAGTGACGTCGTGTAGATAATGCATGTTCATTTTTTAGGTAGCTATTATTTTGATGTGGACACAATAAACATTGGTATAATAATGAAAATCACTTAGTAATCCGTATAAGTTTACGCCTACAAGAAGAACATAAAAACCTATTCTGTGGAATAAAATCTTACTCTCACATTATGTTCTATTGTGGTGCGAGCTACTTATAAGTAGTATATGACGTGAGCGTCAACGTAATGTCTGGCAGCAGAACATAGGGGAAGATCAAGAAAGGAAGAGTTAGAACACAATGGAATTTGTATGAAACGCATGAATAGTGACAATGCATTGATGTTTTGCAACAGGAACAGTCCAGTTCGATAGGATGATGAACTGATATTTTGCAAATTAACGATTTACGATATGGTGTTCCGATTTTACTGAGTAACTCTGTAATTTTCGATAAATACGATCCCACATGTGTTCTCGTTCACTATACTATGAATTATCTAAATTAAGCTTATTAAAACAATTTTATAGAGTCATTTAACATGAAAATGCAAAAAACTGACTTGACATGTTTAGCCTAATATACTGGCTTAATTATTTGATAAAATTGACTTACATATCTAATACTAAACTGAATGGTTCCATCACAATAGATGCTAACGAGAATACTGGCTGAAATTAATATACAAGCGAAATGATACAAGTGAATGAAATATGATGGACTTTGTTGCTGGTGTA